ATTGGCAAAAGGATCCTATAAGACTTGCTACAATTATTGGAAGAGTGTTCTTTTAGTAGTTGCTCTAGCGCAGTAGGAAATAAAAAGCAAGCGAGGAATTCACAGCATGACATCTATCATCAGAGATTGAGGGACAAAAAATGTACTGCGTGGAATTCCATGAGTCGATGTTCTTAACTAGTTCCTGGCGGTGGTCCTGTTGTTATATAATTACATTTTATCTCGTCTATTTATACTCACAGTTGTGTTCGTTTAATTGGTCAATTAATATATAATTTGCTTCCAATAAGAAGCTCTTTTTAACGAGTTATAACTCATAAATATTAAGAATTAATATAGTTTGCATTTGAAATACTGAATTATTGTCCTGTACTCTAGGTTGCCCGGATGAGATGGCTGTTTAGCTATAAGGCCGCCTTTTTTTAAGTGAGTACAAAAGGTTTGCTCTAGAGTTTTCGTATAAGGTCAATTTATAAATAATTCAACATCAAGCAAATTTATAGTAACGCAGATATACAGGTTTTAAGTTAAATTTAATGCAATCATGTATTAGACATACGAAGTGAGTAAAAGAGTGGAACGCAGTGCATGTGACGAATATTATTATTTGTACGATGTCCTATGGATGTAACGCGAAATATACTAATTAACTTATTTTGAACAACGACCCGACGTAACCGTTTGATGGAAATCCTAGCACAGTTCTGTTAATATTCATAGCAGCTCGAGATGGATGTTTTAGTTGTGTTTTAGTCTTAGTAATAAAGTCAATGCTATTTTTGTATAAATGAAATTTGCATAAATGTTAAAGCGGTTATTACATTCATTTTTGACCTTGCATGTTCGCATTCTTCTGAACGGGAAGTAACTACAGCGATGACGTGAATTATCTAGGCTTTAGTAGCATACCAACAAGGCAACTCAATTATTAATTAATAAATAGTATAAAGATTTCGCGGCCTTTTTGTGACGCTTCTCGGATTTTCGAGCTGGTCAGTCGTTGTAATTGAGAATTACTTCTATATTTATTGCAATCACGTGTAGATGACATACATTAGAGGATTCTGGGCATTGTAGCACACCCAAATAACTTTGATATCTATACTAATCCATATATAAAGCTGAAGAGTTTGTTTGTTTGTCTGAACGCGGAAATCTCAGGAACTCCGTGTTCGAATTGAAAAATTCTTTATTGTGTTGGTTAGAACATTTATTATTTCGCTCTGTGCGTAATACAAGCGAAGATACAGCAAGAAATGTAGAAAACGGGTATAATATTTATCGAATTGACATATAAAGACTTTTAAACAGTTTAAAAAACGTTTTCCATTTACCACTGTGTGCTGCAAAGCATCGCGTAAACTACAGCAGACAATATTCTCAATTATGTTTAGACATATAGTACAATGTTTTATAGCATATAAATTCTTTAAAAACAGTAATAGATAGTGAAAAATACCCGGAAGTACATTCAACTCTACTATACTTTGAGACTATTGAAGCGAAAACCAAATAGGCACCAATTAAAGCAATGTGCGGTCACAGCGTGACGGTAACGCACCACGCCTAACGATTATGTTGGATCACTTTCACTAACACCATAATGTCTGTAATCCATACAGGATATGTGACCATAATTTAGTTACATTATGTGGTGTGGCCATTATATGCGGGCAGAAGAACTACTTCCTGTGTTCTGACGCTCATCCAACTGTGAAGTGAAGTTATAAGAAACACCCAAGATATAAGGATCGAAGTCATTGTAGGTACAGAGTAATAATAATAATAATAATAAACGAGGTCTTTATGACAAACATAGACATCAACATGGATACATAGAATTATATATACAAAATAAAACATGTTTGTGCAAAGGCGGCCTTATCGCCTATGGCGATTTCTTCAGCACCTTTGATTTAGAAATAAGAAGTAAAAAAGTCAACATAAAAAATTAAATTATACAATAAAAAGATAATTTAAACTGGAAATTAACACTAAATTACTAAAGCTAAACATACTTTATAGATAAAATAACACACTTAACACCTAGAGAAGCATATGAAGATCCTAAATGTGATTAATTTATTACTATTATATATACTGACAAACATGGGCAAGTGATAATCCAGCCTATAGCATCTAAAGAAGATGCGATGCGACCTATTTCGGAAAACCAAAGACTAAACAGAAACGCGATTAAACGTCACGGCTCTTTCATCTGTGGACGGTGGTTCGTGACCCGGACGAAGTCTTCCCAACACCCATTTAATATCCAGATTTCCAGACGAAGTCTATCATGTTTCAGAAAAATTTGAAATATGTTGGACCCGGTGGGGATCAAACCCACGACCCGTTGATTAGCCACACATTGCTACCATTCGACCGCCGAAGCTATCAAAAAAAGAGACATAGAGGTAGGGATATAATTTATTTTAGAATGGATGTAGGTATACATATAGGTAGGTAGGTATATAAGCATAGGTTATACAACGTAGCAGTTTATACCCCCCAAGTAAATAAACCAGTTCCCTTTCAAAACGCCCTAAGGAAACGACCAGTTCCGAACTACCTGATTCTCTCGACTACCTTCCTGTACGGCCCTAAAAAACGGCGTTACTTAACTATTTCTCGTTACTTATATAAAATGGACAATTTTTACTTTCCAATTAGGAAGTTTGCAATCAAACGTAATTAGTATGAAGTAAAAGTAAACTTGGACGTTTACAATGAAAAGTATTTTATTTATATATGTATATATCGTAGTAGCTGTGCCAGTGACTTCGTCCGCGTAGTTTAGTTATTTTGCGTCAAATTTGTTTTTGTACATTGTGTTGTTAATCTTAAAAGATAGACATCATATATATATATATATATACACTATCGCGTACATATTTTTAGATCATTTAAAGTGGAAATACATATTTTTGGTTATAGCACGAATTGTTGGTAGCACGATATTATTTTTCACATATTTTCTATATTTCCTACTGTTTCTATTAATCGCAAAACTCAAACTAACACAAAAGATAGGAAAGGCACTACTTAAGAAAGAATTGAAAAATTCGAACCAGTAGTTCCGGAGATTAGTGCGTCAAACAAACAAACGAATAAACACTTCTGCTTTATAATATTAGTATAGATGCACAAGTAGCGTGTAGTGTTAAATAGTAATTGTAGAAACTCACTTTATGAACTTTTAAATAAAAAACCTTAACGGTTTAAAACGCGATATATATTAAGTAAACTTATTTGAAAATTTATAAAAACATAGAATTTTTTTAAATTAAAAACATAGAAAGAAATTATTAAAAACATAAAACTAGTAACTACGGCCCGACGTTTCGGATGCTTTGCAACAGCCGTGGTCACGGGGAGACTGTATGAACTTATTATAATTATTAGTGTTACCTTTACTATAAATTATTGTAAATCTCCGTCTACAAGGTTGTCTGGAAGAAATGGCTTCTTTTGCGATGGTAAAGATATGTATACTTAATAAAAATGACATCACGATAGACTACATATGCTAGTAATGTAAATGTTCTTGAACCGTGAAAGCATCGAAGTATTTCGTGACCTCTGCTTTCGCCCACTTTCCATACTTGACTCTCGTTTTTGCAATGCACCACGAAAACATAAAAAATAGACTAATTATGACGAAACGTTTGGCGTCGTTTAATTATTAACTAGTTAGAAGTAATTTTAACAAACAAATGTATAATTTAAGGATCGAAAATAAATTGAAAAATGTTCGACTCGGGCAGGACTTAAACCGGCATCGTCAGCGTTCCGTGCTGTGCTCAGGAAGGAGGCGCAATAACATGTAAAAAATAATACAGTTTTCAAGCAAATGTCACCGGGTCTTGGGTTCGATCCCCAAGGTGAACAACATGCTTCTCATCAATATATTTTTTTCGGGAACATGTTGGACTCATCTGGGATACTGCTTATTAAACGGGGGAAGGTAAACAGTTTGAAGGTAGTCAGTCTGTAGTTTTCCGAATATCCAAAGCCAAATCAGGTCGCCAGCGCATCTTGCTTAGATGTTATTTGGCTCTTATATGCCCCTTCCACCCTCCCCCCCATGCTTGTCTGTCCTCTATTATAAAAAATATAATGATACACATAAACTGAACAGTGAGGATCACTCAGTTACGAGAAACTCGATTAATATTTTACGTCAAAGATAACAGCTATTATTTTGTACATCTACTTTCATTTATTACAGCATTTGTATGCTACTCTGGTATGCGTTTGTCCTTGTAACCGAACTATGGGACATTATGTGAATATTTATGAGCACTTTTCAGTGACAGAAATGGTAGTGCTCCAACGGTGGCATCAAGAATACTTCTTGACATAGTTGGAACGACTGACAATTACCAAGTATTGTTTTACGGCCGGTCTCAATAACTTACTACCAGTTAAAGACAGATAGCTATACCGCGTAAGCTGTTAAAGTTAAACTATCTTTAACTGGCGTTTCAATTTTTTTTACTTAAGATAAAACATAGATAGAGAAGCTGTCTTTCTATGAAGTATCTATGGATAGAAGTTGACCCTCTCAACAGTAGATTAGATCCATTGGTTAAAATTTCAATCTATGTGTGAATATAGAAACGCAAAAGTTTAAGAATTTAAGATTAAGTGTAAATATTATCTTCTAGTTAAAGGTAAGTTGCATATTGGGACTAGCCATTACTTATATTATTGTTACTATAAAGGTGGGTGTACAATGTACTGTTTGTTTAACTTTTCTACAAATTCATGTGTATGTATGAATTAGACGAAGACACGCACAGTAAACTGTTAAAATATTCGGGCGGAAGCCATAGGCCTATCTATATTAGCCGATTATATAGTTTACTGTTGATTTTAAGTTAATTAGAATTTATTTAGAGTCTACGTGTGTATATGCGATGCGAGTAACTGGTAAGACAAACCGGTTTAAATATGTTATATCTGTGGAAAAAAATCCCTAAGTACGAAAAATTACTAACCTTATCTGTGGAGGGCTGTATAGCAGCGCTTTGCGGTGGCACAGACTGCACAGGGCGGGCTGGTTTCGCCGCTGCGCGCTGCAGAGTGGCTCTCTTTACCGTCACCATCAGCCAGACATCTTCTACTCTCTGTGACACCTAAAGCCAGATAAAATGTATAATTTTATTTTTATTTTTAACTTTACAAAACTTCTTGCGTTTTCGAGCTTAAAAGACGTCTGAACTGAAAAATTATTCTCGATGTTTCGCTAGCATATTAAATGTGTATTTGTATCTAATAGAATAAGTCGAAACTCGAAGATGTAAGAAGGTATAGATTAAATAAGTGTAGCATATGCTTGTTTATCAAGCAACTTATCGATACGATGGTAAATATGTATATTGCCATTAGAATCTTTATAGGCGCGAAATATTTTTTGAGGCAGGAAACATTTTATATAATTAGTTGTGTAGTGCGGTGTAATAATAATAAAATATTCACAGACATTTCTTCTCCAATGGTGCTGGGATTTAAGATCCTCTACCCACCACGCTACTTCAGTCCGGATTGGCGGAATTAACAACGGCTCTTCGAGACTTTGTGTATAGTTTAGTAATAGCACAAGTAGAATTCTTACTTGTGTCACAAGAGCCCTCGTCTCCTGTGTCGCTGACTGCATCAACATATCTCTGAATTCATCAGGCGATGTTAAACCAAAGCTTTTTGCGTCTTCTAGTAGTTTATCAACTGCTATGAGACCACCTTCGCCGGCCAATATTTCCACTCCTGTTGTGCACCATTCGTTTGCCTACAAAAGATACATTTATTTATTATAATTAAAAAAATAAGTATGACATGTCCTAATATAGGTTATGAAACCATAAAGACAGTCTATCATCATATCTATCATTGTGTTAACGCGATGGGTTTGTTATGCCAGCGGACACACGAGCATGGGGATTGAATTTATTGATGGTAGATGAAATGCCACAGTCAAACAAGATTCATTGTCAACTTATGCGTGATTTGAACCGAGGTGATTACATTTCACAGATTTTTAATCTGTAGACGGTGGCCCGTGAGCTAGGTGGAACTCGGATATTCCACCCATTAAATATACAAATGAACATTTACATGTTGTGTTGATTAGGCACATGTTCGATACGGTGGGAATCAAATCCACGACCCGTTGGTTACCAAAATCAACAGGCCCGTCATAGTTAGTAAAAAAGTCAAATCACTTACTTTGTGCCAGACACGAGCACAATAATGTGTTTGCCCTAAGTCCCATAATATGGGTGCCCATATTATTGTAGATTTTATTTTACGAATAAATAGTGATGTTAAATACAGTACCTTATCTATTCTATCCATAAGTTCCCTCGCTTTTGTTAAAAGAAGATTTCGTTTGTGTATTTTATCAATTAATAGAGCACTTGTTCTTCTCAACTCTTCACATTTGGATTCTATATGATCCACAGAGCTTAGCGGGTCTTGCATTAATTTTTCACCTGTGAACATATTTTATACAATTATTAAGGGGCAATGATATGTTAGCGGTTTCCTGAATATATTATCTGTGAGCGCAATAAAAATAAATGTACATTATTTCAAGTTTTTCTTGTGATAGAAAAGGACAATAATTAGGTTCAGTTAATGGTAAGTGAATAACCCAGCCATTTAACATAAACAAGATGTATTGTCGACCTAACTTTTATTACCTAATTATTAGCTTTTGATATTCCACGATACAAGTAACTCCTGCCCGTAGTTAAAATAAGTAGTCCACATTTAAATAAAACACTTTTTAACGGGTGTGTGTATTCCCTTTTGGTATACTCAAAACCATCTTTTCTGATGGCTCAATAATTAAACGCATTGTCTAAACGGCGGGTTCATTTCCTGGGAAGATTTGTTCCGGTCAGGATTACTAGTATGGTTTTACTAATCTGTACTGGTACACAGAGTATTAGAAACGTCTCTGTACCCCATACCCCACCTAGGGGACACTTGAATTTTACATTACCATTCGTGGATTCTATTGTCATATCAAATAATGGGATTATACCTTCGACGATAACACATGATGCAGCGTCAAGATCACAGGTGCACAGTTTTTGAAAATCAGTAACCTCCTGTATAAGACCATCGACCCTATTAGCTGTCTCACCGACTTCGGTCATGTCGCATGCAGTCTTTAAGTGTGTATCTAAGGTAGCCTAGAAATAAACAATATTTTAAAAAGTATTAATACATTTTTGATTAAACTGCATTGCCGAGAATAAAACCTTTTTGAAAGTGTTTCATTTTACAGGGGTATTAAAAAAGATATGGTTACCATGACAACTGTCAGGCTAAGTTGTCAAAAGTCATTTTGACAGTTTTAGTTATATAAAGTATCATAATCTTGTGAAAATTAACTTATAACAAACAAAGGGAATTATGACTTTAGATATTGTATGTAATTTTCGGAAGTGCAGAAAATTATTATCTAGTCAAGCATGGGTCACAACTTGTTCACACGCTTTTTGCGTCGAACACGGAAAAAGCGAATTTAAGCAAAATACCGAGAATTGCTTTACGTGTCCGGCATGTGGAACCGAATTACGAGGTAAATTCGATGTAATCCAAGCTGATCTTAAGCCAAGTGAAACGTTTAAATCAATAGTATTAGCCGGATTAAAACCAGACGTCATTATGGACGTCGCTATGCGAGCAATGTCTTTTTGGTCATACCAAATTGAACAAGAGACATTATACCAAGAAACATTGGCGAAACATTCAAATGAGAAACTTCAGTGTTCAGAGGAAATTAATAATATAAATTTGAAAAAACTCGAAGCTGAATTGGAGAGTAGTAAACGCAAAATCATATCACTACAGTCAGAATACAATAAGAAAAGAAAACAAGCGGAGGAACTGAACGCACAACTGGAAGACAAGAGCAGAAAACTACAGAAATTGACATTTGAAATGGAAGCACATAAACGGAAAGACATAAGAGCTAAAGATTTCGTTCGCGTTGATAGCAACAGTAGTCGAGACGTTTGTTTGGACATATCAGAATTAGTAATGAACAAAGTGCCATCGGAACCCTTCGTTTTCAAACCTATGAAGGACAACGAAGTGACGCCACGCAAGATATCCCCCAAAACTCCTATGTTTGATTTTCGGTATAAGAATAAACAGAGGCCAGGTTTCCAATTTAAGCCAATATGATCGTAGAAATAAGCATATTAATTATTTGTATATACTCGCATGTATTTAAATTAAATAATTTACCTGCATTTGTTTGAAGTTTAATAAAAAAAGTCCTAAATTTCAGCCAATTGTTTAATTTCAATGAATGTTTCGTCCAGAATGTGTCGAATTGTTTTTCAGTCTCTTCGAGTTGTACAAGTAGCCTGAAATATAAACACAAATCAATTAAAACGCGAAATGTATTAGTTATCGTATTTTTGATTTATTTCTCTCTTTAATATTAAAAATGTATTGTTTTCTTTCAAATTACAAGAGACACATTATATAACACTATAAATATGCAATTCTAATTTATAACAGAACAGACAGTGATTTGTGACAGAAGTTTGTTAGCTATATAGATACAAAAATTCGATGTGATTAGGAATTACAACTCCTAATAACGTTACCTTTCAACAGCCGCCACGTGGCTAATAATATTGTAGGTAAGATTTGGTTTTCGTACTTGTGTCAGCAACTCCTCGCCTTGGGACGTTGCTGATACCAGTTCACCTTTTAAAGCTTTATAACTGAAAAATGATAGGAAAAAAGTGGTTTTTGATTACTTATATCTCATTAATACCAAAGTTTGAAGTAGTTTTTGATAAACTTATTTAAGTAATTCTTCATTTTAAAAAAAAAAAAAAAAAAAATTTAAAAAAAAAACAAATTTTTTTTTTTTTTAAATTTTTTAAAAAAAAAAAAAAAATTGGGCGATAAAAAGCGGCAAATTTTCGCCATAATTGGGGCCGTTATATCTTATGAAACAATTAGCAACTAATGGTATTAAATGGCGGCCTAACGAAGAAATCTTTTATCCCGAATACTGAGATGGTCTATATGAGCCTGCTGGAGGCAGAGTGGCCTAATAACAAAAACATGTCTTTCAATAAGGAGGAAAATAAAAGTACGCAATTAACTCAGGCGAAAATTAATCTGTAGTCTGTACTATCGTTTGTGTAAGAATTATGTTAACAATTTTTGGGCGCTGTGATTTTGTAGAATAACATGTTTGTCTATGAATATATAAATCAAGTCATAATATTGCAGTGGCGATCGCCTCTAACGGCCTCATGTAACAAAGAATATATTGTATCTCGAATCGTGGTTCTTAGACTAACTCGATTGATAGTTGATAAATGGCTTACCTAGATTCTTGACAGTCTAACAATTCTTTGGTTTGTGCGGGATCGTTGCCCATGTCACAGTCGACTATTTCTTGCATGAACTCGTCTAGCTTCGTGGAAATCTCCTTCATCAGTGTTGAAAACTTTTCTAAAGCCTGTAAAAAGTAAACAGTCCAATTATATCTTATTTTTGCCACATGATCGTTGTGATAAATCAGCATTTATATTCAGCTTTTCATAAGGCGATCAGCTCTGTATGAAAATTCCCATTTATCTGCATATTTTGATCAGAGCGCAAGGGTTTCATCATAAAAAAAGTAGGAGCAGATTAAAAAAATTGCTGCGACATGGCGCCAGTTCAATTTCCAGCAGTGACGAATACTTTTTAAAACTTCCATAACCATATCTATACTAATATTGCAAAGCAGAAAAAGTTTATTAAGGTACAAAAGAATGATACCTCTTTGAATGATCTAAAAACGACAGTATAAATGTCTATCTATTAAGGTAACCTCGTAAGAACCGTTTTACTGTAATCAAATTAATGTATGTTACAAATTATATGTAAGATATTTACCAACATAATTATTGTAACAATAAATATGACGCTCATAATAACGATTCACGCAGAACGCAGACTAAGTCGCGGGCACACTTAGTTAAAGATCACCGTATCAAAAGGCGGTTTCCATAGTAAAATATACTTACTATCCGTTGTTGTATCCATTCCGAGTGCGAGTACTGTAATTCACCCCCTAAATCCGGGGTAAGCTGCGATCTGTCAAAATGCTCATACAACTCCTCGACACAGGAACAGACGAGCACGCGAAACCGGAACTCTTCTTTGAAGAGCTTGCTGCTGACCTCTGATAACGCCTTCTGAAGAAAACTGGCCGGACGTAACACGAACACCGTGTGTATTACTCCCGGGAAGAATTCCTGGAAATTTTCGGTCATATTATTAAAACCTTAAATTGTTCTCTTTAACTTTGAAATCAATAAATATGTATTTGAATATAGGAAGCTAAAAAGATACTGTCTGTAGTTTACGCGAGTAGTACATATTTTAATAACGCTTTAACCGTTTAAAACGCGACATATTATTTAAACTTATTTGTAAAACGTTGGGCCGACGGCACGAGTCTCGCCGTGACCACGGCTGCAATGCAAAGCATCCGAAACGTCGGGCCTTAGTTAAAACCAGTTTCAAATAAGTTTAACTAATATTCATATATCGCGTTTTAAGTTTGTTAAGCAAGTGTTTTATTTAAATGCGTCTTACTCGCGTAAACTAAAGACAGTGTCTTTTTAACTTCCTATATTGAAATATTGTTTTATCACTTATTTAATACTTACGGATATCCTTAGTAAAGTAGCTTTAACAGAGTTCCATCTATCTTTCCGCCGGTCGATAATTATATGGAAGCCCATTTCCGCTTCCAATAGCCTGAAAAAATAGGATAATGTCTTATTAATGTATATTGTATAATATGGTATTATAAAAACATACAGTTACTCAACTGAATACAATTTTAGCAGAAGTATTGTTTATGGTTATTTAAAAATCGATTTATTTTTTTTTTAAATTCGACTCGAGCAGGACTTGAACCGGCATCGTCAGCGTTCCGTGCTGTTGCTCTACCAATTGGGCTGCCGAGTCTTAAGTTTTAAATTATATAACAAATAATAAAAATACATGTTGTTAAATACTAGTACTAGGGTAGTAGTTAGAAATTATTTTAGGCTATATAATAAAACACTTTTAACGGCCGGAATATATTACAAATGTCATGTGGTCACGGATTCCCCCGTTTAATTCTTTTGTGTAATACTAGCGAAAACTACACAGAATGCTTATTTTAAGCAATTAATTTGTCTTTCTACATTTTTTTAAAGAAACTTGTTTAATATTGTCTTTCGCTTACAGCAACATATCATCGTCTTATGAATCACTAGTCCTACATGAATTTTCATTGATTGCTGAGCATGTTATCTTTATCGGGAATTTCATCTCAAGATGATATCAGACTACATTTCGAATCTGCCTGTCTTGCTCTGTTTAATAAGAGTTATTTCCTATAGTCGTTCAACACTAATACCTTTCCATATAAATTGATGCTTTAGCCTCGTTATAGTAAGCCTAAAATATAATCTGTATCAATATTATAACGCTGAGGAGTTTACTTTTTGAACGCGCTTCGAACCAACGCTAGCGGAATATCAATGGAAAAAGTAGAAAAATGGGGAAAACTAGGTGCCTGCGTTGCGAAAACGGTTCGGGATACCCAAAAGATATTTATTAAATAATTGTACATCTTTAAATAATCTAAAAATGTCCGCGACAATATAATATGTCTATCTTTTAAGATTGTCTCTCTGCTGACTTTCTAGCTGTGTCTGCGACATAGTCCGCGTCCTATCGTTTTTGCGACTTGGTTGGTACAACCAAGACAAAGATAATTGTTCACTTCGACCCAGTGGTTCCTAAGATAGCGCGTTCAAACAGACTTTACAGCTTTATCATATTAGGACTATATACATATAGTACTATCCCGTATCTAATAACAAAACCTATCTTTCGTCTTTGAATTGCGATCTATTCAATTATACTCACGAGGGAACTGAAGTGAGGTACAGTAACAGTCTGCGGTATTCTGAAGCTGTGAGGACATGGAAGTTGTTATTGTCTGGAAAGGTGATGAGGGGCCGGTGATCACGGGCCAAGCCTCCGGTGGCAAGCGCATACTGTGGTAACAGAAGTTCACCCACACTTCGACCCTCATCATTTTCGCTGCTGCATCCATCGCATTCCGCTTCTGAAATGTGGAAAATATCACTGTAATGGGACCGCTAGAGGCTGGTATTAGATTCGAGTTTTATATGACCGTCTGTAGTCTAATGGTTAAAAGTACATTGCGTGGTGCGCGTTCGAACCCGCCTGGGTTCGAATCCCAGGGTAACAAAAGAAAATGTTTCGGTCGGGGAGGGCACAGAAGTCTGATCAACTACTTGCCTGTTAAAAGAACGGATCAGTGAACACATGCCCCTCGAGGGGAAACGGGATTTCGCACTATTTATATTTGCATAGTTTAAAATGCTACTCTACAAGAGCACAGTGCTCGAAAAATTTTAACATAATTCTTACACAAATAATAGTACAAATCAATTATCGATTGTCACTGAGCTAATCTGTGAATTAAACTTATTATCCTTTACATGCATTTCTGACATAGAAGTAAATATTAAAAGTCCTTAGTTACACTTAAAGACATTAAAAAAATAGTTTTTAGCCTCTAAAACTCTTTTCTCTTCGAAAGATGGACATTGAAAGATGTAAAGCCAACTATTTTCTTTATTTGGAGCTGCGTAGTAAAACTGTAAAAACTTGATCAAGAATTACAAGTTAATGGGACGTAAAAATTGTAACGCTTGGTTGAACTGCTCGAAAACCTGAATCACTTAGTGATTTAGGAACAAATATATTGTTTAATTGTATCCTTAGCGTTAATTTTAATATCTTATAAGAGTAGCATATATAAGTCAAAACCCGTTTCCCCCTAGCCGTACCCGGCCGCAAAACTATTGTTACGCCGGTTTTACGGAAATCAAATGTTAGACCTCTCGTGCCTAAAGTAATGGGTAGGCAACAAGTTCAACCATTTAGCTAAAAGGGGTGTATATAGCAGTTACAATAATGTAACTGCTAACTATATAATCGTTACTTATAGTTTAATAACTATATAAAAAAAGACTACTTACTAGAAATAAGTTAACATTGTAAAGTTTTAAAATTTCGTATTAGGAAAAATATTTAATCTACATTATTAAATAACACTCGTTTAAAAATTGGTACTAAGGTTATTGCTAGTATTTTAGTATTCTAAGTATATGCAAGAGAGTCTTTAGCGGTGACAACACGAAATAGTGTTTCACGGCTGCTATAAATCATTTAAACTTCAGGACATTAAAATACATTCACTTATATAGTATTACGCATTTACCAATGAAAATGAATCAGTTTATCTTAGGTAGCTTTTTTAAATAACTTTCTAGATAGAACATATGAGGCCTCATATTTTAGAAAAATATCGCCGTATCGAAAAAAACACCACAAAGTTATCTAACCTCATTCATGCAGAAGTTTTTAAATTCATTGCACAAAGTTACATTATTATATATTTGGTATTAAGTCATGTTATTTAAATAATAAATAAAAAGCTTAAACAAACAATTAACAGAAGTTGTCAATTTCAGCGACAAACGGATCACATACGAGGCTCCGTCGCATCGTTCAATCGAACTGAATACAAAGGGATTCGATTTCCCGTTCAGCGAGAATATAGGTGCAGGCACGTATTGAATTGCCTATACACAGTGTCTACTCATTCATATGTAACAGACAGCCGTGTCTGTCATCGGATTTATCCCCTCGGAAATCAACATCTGCCTAGGTACAATGCCTATACAAAATTGTATCTAAATTTGTTTCGTTGTACGATGAACCAGCAAAGAGTACTTATTTATTGCCATAGGATTTTGTAGTTTACGTGAATAATACAGTTTAAAATCAAAAATCGATTATAAATTGAAACAATTTACGACAAAGTCAATGTTTTTCTTAGTAGAAAATGTCTCAGGTCGTTCCTTCATTTTTATATTTAACTAGTTGTGCCCGCGACTTCGTCCCTTTAAGTTCTTATTTAAGTAACATTTGTTATATATTTGAGTGTTAATAGTACGTAAATGCTTGAAATTGTACTCAGGGAATTGTACTTTAAAAGTAAGCAATTAAAACTATCAACGTTTAAATTGTCCAGTTATGTGCAACCATTAGACACGGCCATTGCCGCAATATGGACCATCTCTTCATTAGTATTTAGCGGTGTCTTTTTGTCCATTAATGGATAACAGCGTTAATGAACTATTTCTGGTGACATTGACTTAAGATATACTGTTAACATTTAACTTCGTCATGTTTATTGCGACGTCAATCTTTATTGTTTCTCAATCAAAATAATAATTATTATTACATAGTATAAAACAAAGTAGCTTTTTCTGTCCCTATGTACGCTTAAATCTTTAAAAATACGCAACGATGCGATTTTTATGCGGTTTATTTTATAAGATAGGTTTTTATATGCAACATTCACAGTTTTTCTGTACTGTATTTAAATCAGCATTCAAAGGGGTGGAAAAGTATAAAAATATCATCATGTTAAAAAAAAACACTTTAACGGTTTAAAACGCGATATTTTACTTAAACTTGTTTGAAAATTAATTTTAACCGTAGTGCTGGTCCTTCTGCTTCGCAGCAGCCGTAGTCACAGGGAGACAAAGTTTAACTAAAATATATCGCGTTTTAAACCGTTAAAGTGTTTTTTTTTTCAAATGTATTCGCGTAAATTACAGACAGTATTTAATACCATCATCGTTAAGTATTGTGTCCAAATTATGCAAATAATAAATTGTTTAAACATTTAATAGTGTAAATTAAAAATACATTTTAAATTTAAAAGGCAGCACTTAAACCGGCATTCACAGCGTTCCGTTATCTGTGCTGCTGGTCTAAACAATTGTTTAAAATGTTTTATTGAGACAGACATTATATAATTAAGAACTGGCTGTAGTTTACACAAAATAATTAAGACCGGGGTCCCCCCGTAACATAAGTAATATTTCGAGTTTTAAACCGTTAGAGATGTTTTATTTAAAGTACGATAATTATTTAAATAGTTAAAAAGTAACGTCGCAGAGAATTCAAGTAATTAGTTTACTAAAACTCTGGAGGTACTTACCCAGTTTTTGAAACCCGAAAAATCTAAACCTCATCAGGAGTACAAGTGATTTTAAACGACACATCCAGGTATGTTTAACGTTCATTGAAAGTTAAATTACCATTGACACGAAAACCAGAAAGAGTTGACGTCGATTATAACATGAATACTGCAAAACTAAAAGCTTGACCGAAATTCATTTAAAACAGCTGTCTTGCAACAAAGATACACTTTTTACTTCGCATCCAGGTGCGCACGCGACGATCTCAACGGTCACTGTCGCAAATAAATCTGAAGATGATCTTAACAATACAACTTACTACGGAGTACGCGAGGCGATTAATGCAAATAGGGTTGCTACTTTCTCTTGAGATACGTTTTATAATAGATCCACAATAGTGTAGATGGTAAAATTATTATTTATACTAATATTATAAAGCTGAAGACTTTGTTTGTTTGTTGGAACGCGCTAATGTCGGAAACTACTATGACATTATATTGCGACCAATAGGAGCAAAAACGGAGAAATGTGAATCTTCAAGACTTTTCTGCGAAAACAGTTCAAGATAAGTGTACATACAAGAATGATTTAATCTAAAAAAAAATGTTTGCTAAAGAATATGTCTATCTTTTAAGATCAACATGCAAGAACGACGGGACGCGGCCAGCGTCGAGGGAGACAGCAATAATTTATAAAGATGAGGAAGTTTACAAAAACTAATTTTGACGCCGGAAATAACTTTTCTACGCGGACAAAGTCGCAGACACGGCTAGTGTAAATATAATAACGGTTTTAAAATTAACTATTACCAACGATTGCATTTTTATAAAAACAAACACAATATATTGACACCCCTAACAAACCGCATTATGCTAGAGCTACGATAAACAGATTCACTTGTGTTTCTTTCACTTTGAGATGGGAAAAATTAATTCCTATTGTTATGAAATGACCTGCTCCTGTTTTTAAATGTTCCGCGTAAAATGCGAACGCCATTAACTTTTTGACAAAAGCAACAAACTACGAGAGATTTTAATTGCTATTTAATGATCTTATGTTTAAACGATTTTGGTGACGTAAGGCAAAGATAACGTATTAAACAACTTTGTAGCTAAGTATTGAACTAAAAAAAATTGAAATTACTAGAGATGGACCGAGTACCTACTCCGGTGATACTCAGTACGCTGCGTACTCGGTAGGTTTTTTGATACAAGTACTCGGCCGAATAACTCGGTTATACTTCGTTGTTTGATTACGAGTATATGTACTTTGTTTAAGAAAAGCAATATATTTAGGTAGATACAATTACAAAACAGTGCTAATTAATCCAAAAGTATTTATTAGAAATTTAGTAATCTTTGAAATTTAAATTAATAAATCATAACTATGTAAATGAATGAGTACCAATGAGTCAAAAGTACGAGAAGATGAAGAGCGAGCCCACGTCTTGACCGGCGCGAATCTTATGGTACTTGTTTAAAAAAAAAAAAAAAAAAAAAAAAATTGGGGGGGGGGGGGGAAAATAGCGCCTTCATGTGAAAATATTAATTTTTCAAACCCTTTAGAAATTGATTGAACCGAGTTACCTACTCGGCCGACTCGGTACTCGTTACTCGTTAAAAGTGTTACTAGGTGCATCTCTAGAAATTACATTTTACCTCCGATAGGCCTTTAATTGATTTAAACGCGGGGCGTATCGGCGACAAATAAAAATTATCGAACATTGCATTTTTTATACTTTCTCGAAGTTTCTCTTTACAGTCGTAAACTGTTACTGTCTCCAAAATTATTTTGATATTACATTAAGTAATAACAATTCATTATTACACTACACAAAACATATCTAAAATAATCCTTAACACGGAAGCATAGATCTCAATTTGCAGTAACTATAAAACTACAAAATGTAAATTGTTTTGGAACATTTTTGTTGTTATTCGAAGAACACATAAATGAAAGTATTTAATTATATTCATGCGAATAGTTTACACATCTATACTAATATTATAAACCTGAAGTTTGTTTGAACTCGCTAATCTCAGCAACTACTGTATTGTATCTTTTTTTGTTGGTTATTAGAGAAGGCTTTAGGCTATTAAAATATCATGCTGCGACTAATACAAACGAAGACACAGTGGGTACCAATATACTCAAAATGATGTAGAAAAGAATAACTCTTTTAAACAAAACACTTTAACGGTTTAGAACGCTGGATATATTAGTTAAACTTATTTGGAAATTATTTTTAACTTCTTCCCGACGTTTCGGATGCTTTGCAGCAGTGATCACGTGGTCACGGAGAGACGGCTCCGTTTTAAACCGTTAAAGTGTTTTATTTAAATGTGTACTACTCGCGTAAACTACAGGCAGTATTTAAGAGTAACTCTCCTTAAAGTAATTAAAATAATGTGCGCAAAAGTCTATCTGTTAAGAATAAATTACAAGAAACGTTTTTATGGTAAACAAATTTTGGTCGTTTATACGGCAAAAGAACGTTTGCTAGGTCAGCTAGTTAATAATATACAATAGGTACCGTAGAGACCAAAACACTGCATGCTCCGGCGCACGCGACAACACACGCCACTCGCGATCACGTTCAAGCTAGTATTGTCACAATCTGACATCACAGACCCTTAATCTTAACGTCACATTTAAAACGGCTTTATCACACATAACTGTCTAAGACACTGGCGAGTAACGCGTAACGCTGCGTCAAGGTGCTATTAGATCCTATTGGTCAGTAACTCAGTAATTTCTCAAAAATGACAATTTATTAAATAACTAACAGGCCCTCGTCCAGCGTGTTAATACAACAATAAACCGTTCCATCTATTTAGATTAACGCGTAACGCGGCATACAGCGTTAATAGATCACATTAAACCGGGTCGAGAGGACGTTGAGCGCGCTCGATCGCAACTGGCGATGTGAGGACAATCTGAGTTATCGGTTCTTCAGCTATTGATGAGATAGCTAAGGATCCAAGATGTAATCTTATCGTATAACATAAATAGGGTAGTCCCTTGATAGTGATAAGGAATTGTACTGTAATAGTGTTTAGGACTTTTATACGATAGATAAAATATAGAAGAAGTTATAACCATTTTTTCCTGGTGCTGTCACGTCGGGACCGGTTTGTATTTTTTAACATCTGTTCAAAATGTGACCTTAATTGCTTTTATTATTTACGCGAGTAGTACACATTTAAATAAAATACTTTAGCGGTTTAAAACCCGAAATATATTATTGGAGCCGTGGTTTTCTGTGACCATGCTGCAATGCAACCAAAACGTCGGGCCGAAGTTAAAATAAGTTTAACTAATATATTGTGCGTATTAAACCGTTAAAGTGTTTTCTTTAAATGTATTGTTTGTAGAAATAAATCATTATTCTTAGGTGCCATAATTTGTCTGGGATAGGTAGGTTATATGATAAAATGTTGTTTTATTTAAATAAAACACTTTAACGGTTTAAAACGCGATATATTAGTTAAACTTATTTGAAAATGATTTTTAACTTCGGCCCGACGCTTCCGATGTTGTTTTATGACAGAGGAGGAAGAAAACACTTGGGGTTCACTTAATGGAAGGCAAAATGCCTTTGCTCTAAAACATCTATTAACTCTTGTGATTGGGACGGAATTTCAACATTCCTGCTTCTTTCCTAGTTTTTTCAAAATTTCCCTCTGTTTCGTTTTATTGGTCGCACCGTCATATTATTATATAGCCTAAACCGTTTGTAATTCGAACCCGTAGTTCTTGAGATTAGGGCGTTCAAACAAATAAACTTAACACCTGTAGAATATTACTATAGACTGAATAAGATTTGATATTCAAATTCAAACTTTACAAATAACGTTAAAAGTAACCTTCTTTTAACTGCCTTCACAGTAAAACCGGGAAAAATCGATCAAAATACAATTAGTCAGACAACATTGGCGTTACCATGCGTTACAAAATACTGTCATTACCGTTTTCAATAAACAGTGAGGCCGTCCAAAACAAAGGTATTAGAAATTTAGGACAAGATCGGCAACATTGTTTTGGCAAAGCCTTCGAGCAGAAGTTCCAATTGCAGGCCGGGCATACCGGGATGGAACAACATATTCCTAATAACAATTGGTTATGGGTTTAAGGGATCTATAAATTGATTTATTTAGTAAAGTACTACCTATATTTGAATAAACTACTTTAGCCATATACAAAGGTTGCCTGGAAGAAATCGCCATAGCCGATAAGGCCACGTTTGCACAAACATTTAATTTTGTATATATAATTTTAGGTGTTTATGTTCTTCTGTTTATGCAATAAATCATTTTTCATTATTTTTTGTTTTCTCTAGGCGGTGAAAGGCATTCACAAGCACTCTACTAACTTTATTTTCTCTTTTTTTAATAATTACATTATTAATTAATTAAGCTTAATTTATGTAGTTAAGAAGCCAATATTTAATTAATTTCAATTCAGTTCATTTTATTGTTTCTTTTTTTTATGTGTCTTATGAAATAAATGTTTTGAGTTTAAAACGCGAAATGTATTAGCTAGTTGGAAGTCTCTCTTCCAGTGACCATGTTGCTGCAGAGCATCCGTCGGGCCGTAGTTAAAGAATTTGTACTTGTAATTTAAGTAATACATTTCGCGTTTTAAACGGATAAAGTGTTTTATTTAAATGTGTACTACTCGCGTAAACTACACAGTACTTAAAGCACTATAGATTGTAAAGAAACCTATTAGATTAGGTAGTGCGTATGTATTTTATTTTTTTTTGTATATACTATTTTTTTAACTTTCGTCTTAATATTAATTTTTGATTGGACACTTCCAAGCGTAATAGCAATTATATGAGCGAAGTCTAGATTTAATTTAGATTATAAATAAATACAATGATAGCTCATAAAATAATTCAATGGGTACATATACAAATAACGCTAAATGTACGATACACAAACATATACATATATTATATATGTGTACCTACTAATAATATAACAACAAAACGTGCGCACGGCTTTTGTTTTACGTGCCGGTAACACATATTAAATAATATTACCGACACCTCCATAAACGAGATGGTAAACGTAATAATAAATGTAACATTGGCTAATTCTACCTGAATACTAAAAGATTGAATTAAATTTCGTGGGAAAATTCACACGTCCAGTTTCATTTATAAATGGTAAAAAACAACGTTGATTACAATATCATGGAGGATGTTGTAAGAATTTTTCGAAGTCTTCTCGTTGTTTTGAGATTTAATCAAGGTTTGTTTTGATTTATCCAAATGATAATTGAGGCACTAATTGTAAAGTGCTTGTTAATAAAAGATATAAATAATTTTCTAAAAAAAAAACTAAAGATTATTATTATGTAGCAAGGAAATGTATTGTACTACTTAGTCTTAAGACTGTGTGTCTACTAATGACTAGTCGTGTACTGGTAGTAGATATTTACCATCGTAATCAGTGGTGTACGATGATTAATATCGACTTACTTGTTGTATCTATACTAATATATAAAGCTGAAGAGCTTGTTTGTTTGAACGCGCTAATCTCAGGAATTACAGGTTCAAATTAAAAAAATCCTTTTTGTATTGGATAGAGCATTTATCAAGGAAGGCTATAAAATATTGCGCCGTGACTAACATAAGCGAAGATTCAGCGGGAAAAAAAAAAAAAAAAGGGGAAAATTTTTTAATCCCGTGGGTTTTCAAATGCGTACACTGCGAAAACGGTAAACAAAAATATGTATGACAGAATAATTCATCTTTAAATGATCTTAAAAAAAAGTCCGTGACGCTATATGTCTATCGTCTAAGATTAACTAGAAAGAGCGACGGGAGTGGACACAGACGTCGTGGGTAACAGCTTAAGTTTATAAAGATGATGGGGTTTGCAAAAACGAATTAGGATGCCCAAAATAACGATTCTCGCGAACGAAGTCGCTGGCACAGCTAGTGAGTAAATAAAGTATATTTCACATTAATTATGCTTTCATACTTAGGGGAAGAAGCAAACTATTTTCTAAGCTGCTTTAAGAATACCTACACAATCCCTACCAACAAGAAAAGTAATTGCTTTTTTTATAATAAAAGTTAATAATTACTTCTTAGTTTAACCGATTAAGAGAACTAACACCCTTGGCCAAATAACAAGTATATTTTGACACTTATTTTCTTTAATTTCTAACCATTTATTGGAATATCATACTTGAGTTAAGTATTCGTGTAAATGTGCCAATAAGTAAATTTTAACGTTCTCAGTAAGTGGTAGGTGGAGTACATTATGTGATATGGTGTCTTAAAATACCCCGACGGCGTTGAAAGGTTTCAATAGTGATTTGTAATCCCCAAGATCCTTCATTGCTGTAAACTAACCGGTTAGTGTTCAATTCCTATAACACGCGGTAATTATAGCATTGGGTAATTATAGCATAGCAAACAGTCAACATTCAAAATTTAATTTTAAATATCAAAGAATATGTATTTTAAAATTTGAGACAAAAAGTATTTATTTTAGCCGGCGACGATCGAAATCATACATGATTTAAGTAGCCTATGTAGACTCCTTATTTGCGCTAAAAATACTCAACCGTTTTTGATGGAAGTAGGTGTCAAACGATTTGGAATTAACAATAGTCCCTATATTTTATAAGGAATTACAAGGGGCGGTATTTTGCTAATGGTAAATAAAAGAAACGTCTTGGAGTAGCTTATAGTAATTGTAGCTCTGTAGATTAATTTTACATCTGTTGCTTCGCATTTAACAACGTTAGATGTTGGGTTCGAAGTCCGGGAAGACAGACGGGCTTTGACGGGTTAATTGGTCTAATGGTAGCAATGTATGTTAATAATCAACGGGTCGTGGGTTCGATCCCCACCGGGTGCAGCATGTTTCTAATTTTATTATAATTTTTTTAACATGTTGGACTTTTCTGTATATTAAATGGGTGGTAGGAATATCTAAATGTAATAATTCGGTCTTAGTCTGTAGATTTCCGAACATCCAAAGTCAAAATAGGTTGGCATCTGGTGTAGACGTTATATGGCAGAACTATTTCACGTCCCATCGTCCCATCAAGTGATCCCCACGCTTGTCTGCTGATCCTCCTCTATGATTGACAAAAAAAGTTGGTCAAGGCACAGATGTCTGATCAATTTCTACACTCATGATTCTGAAACGGAAATTCTTGGCCTAAAAATTTACTTTTCCAGAACAAGAATACTGCGAGAAGGATCGATTGTAAAAAGAAAATTCAATTTCCCAACACCCGTTCAGTCTGCATAGGGCACTTAATCAACTTGTGAACTAAAACTCATTCTCTTCGTCACGTTCTGTTCGTTACTGGGTTAACGTCAATTCAGATGTTTTTAAAGTACATCCAACATGGCAAAGGAAAGTTTAATATAATGTTATAATTCTGTAAAAATAAATTAATAATCAGTAGATAGTATAAAACATAATCGCTATTTCAAAATTCAGAAAGGATTCAACAGGAAGGCTTTTAAAATCTTTCACAGTTTTTCTGTAGTGTATTTAGTATCAGCATTGCGCCCGAGCTAAGCCGGGCGGGTGGCTAGTATGGAAATAAATGATCGTTTTATCACAATTAGGCTTCTTACAGCAGAATT